CCTGGGACAGTGGGAGGTGTCCCTGCCATGGCAGGGGTGGAGCTGTACCCTTAGCATCCCTCCCAAGCCAAACCATTCCGGGATTCTGTGATTCCCTCACTAAACCCCACAGCCCAGCAGGGCTCACTCCCCACGGGCTCCAGGGGTGCCCAATTCGCACATTTTTCCTCTCCCAGGCATTTTCCTGGGGCAGGGTGGCAGCGTGGATGTGGCTGGAGGCAGACTGGGTGGGTTTTTCCTGTGCTTTCACACCCCCCACACCTTGGGCCAGCTCCCCAAACCCTGCGGGGCTGCTTGGGGAGCCACACACATGGAGTGATGACAAACTGGTGACAAACACCGCCACCAGCCAGTGCCAGCAGGGCTCAGAGGAAASCCAGGCTCCTGCTTGGCACATCTGYAAGACAGAATTTAGCCCTCTGATGGGCTCCTCTGATGTCCATGAGCTGCAAATGCTGGAGGCAGCAACACCAAACAAAGGCTGGAGCAAAGAACAGATCAGCACCATGGGGAGGGTGATTCCACCCTGGCAAAGGGATGAGCACAACTCTCACYTCCTAAAGAGGATGAGTTCCTGATATCCAATCCAATGCAGGCATTTATTCTGTACGAACAGTCTGGGCCAGGTAGTATTTTCCTGCCTGGAGGGAGGCAAGGAGATTCCAGCTGGTTTTGGCAAAGAGGCTTCAGCTTTCCAGAAGAGCCCACTCCACAGGCTCCTGCCACCCTTGTGCAGCTTCGAGCCAAAGASAGAAAGACAAATACCAGGATAAAATGGACAAACCCATCAGCTGGAGGGTTGGAAAAAACAGGGGGATTGTAGGGGTTTTTTTATTTTTTTCTTTTCCTTTTTTGTCACCAGGGAGACAGAAGCAGAAATGACGAATGYTTTCAATTTGCCAACATTTCCCACAGATATTTTTGGCCTAATGGTGAAAAACAAAGCGTTGGTGGGTTTGAGTTCCAGCCCACCTGGCTGCCTTTCCAAACTGAAGGTGGGAACGCTGGCAGGGGGCTGAAGGCTCCGGGGGGGTTCTTACAGATAGACCTTGTCACTTTGGACCTGTCTTCATCCATGCCAGGAGCTGTCACCTCTCCCCTTGGGCAGAGCCACCAGGRTGTGGCACAGCAGGGTCATCTGGAAGGGCATTAGTTTCATTTTATAGTATTACTTATTTTATTTCACGTAATAATATTTATTTTATTTCACTTCATAATATTTTTAAAAATAATTTTTAAAATTAAAATATCTAAATTAATTACTTTATAATATTATTTATTACACAATAAATATAATTTATTAAATATTATCATAAATTAGGTTAGTTTTTATTATTATATATAGTATTTTATATTATTATATTACATTATATAAATATATATTATGTAATATAAATATATTMTTTATTAAGTATTACATTTATTGTATAGAGGACAGGTGCCTTTGTAGGGAAAAAGGGTTTGAAGGAAGAATWKYACAGAATCCYAGAGTRGGGTGAGTTAGAAAGGACCTTAAAACTCATCTCATTTCACCCGGGRACACCTCCCACTGTCCCAGGTCACTCCCAGCCCCAATGTCCAGCCTGGCCTTGGGCACTGCCAGGGATCCAGGGGCAGCCACAGCTGCTCTGGGCACCCTGTGCCAGGGCCTGAACACCCTCAAGGGGAAGGAATTCCTTCCTGTGTCTTTTGAAATACTTTTAAGAGGAAAAATGCAGCATTTCCTTCTCTTTTGAWTAATCTGGAAGGAGGTGAATGGAGGAGCTGGGACGTGCCAGGACTTCCCTCAGCCCAGTTCCAGGAGCTGCTGTTTCCCCGGATGGATAAACCCTGCTGGGATGTCTGTAGAARTGTCTTGTGCAGAGCAAAGCTCTTTGATTATCCTGTTGCTATTTGTCAAATGCAAAGGACCRTGTAAAAAATAATTTCCAGCTTTCAGAACTCCTCTCCTTTCACTCTGCTTTTGATGTCTAAAGAGAAAATAGCCCTGTGAAGCAACTCGATTTCTTCAGAGCTATTAACAAGTCTTTCAGGGTCCCAGGGTGACATAACAGGTCTGGTCTGACTCATCCCATTTAAGAGTGTCTCCTTCCAGACAGAAATAGCTCAGCGTGCAGCCATAAAAAACATGAATCAATTAATGTCTTCTATTAACTAGAAATGCAGATAAATCTTCTCAGTGGTGGGAATGCAAATTCCTGGCTCCCGTTCCTTCTCCCTCCCCGTGCTCTTTGTATTTGGCTCCTTCCTTAATTGATCTTTTCTGGATGCTGGCTCCAGGTCCACGTGGTTGTTTTTGCAGCTGGTCTCGGGTGCTCTGGGTTGCAGGATCCTGGAGATCCAAGAGATCTTTGTGCTGCTGGGGGAATAAGGGATCTAAAAATGACCTGGGCCAGGGAACACCGAGCTCACGAGGAGAGTGGGGTGGGCGAGGGAGGCAGAGGGAAGGGTTTGGATTGGGGAATGTGGGGTGCAGGGGGGCTCAGTGGAATGCAGCTGATCCAGGTGGGGCTGGACTGGGATAGAGAGGCAGAGGGAAATGGTTTCACATGGATGTGGGGTGCAGGGGCTGTGGGGTGCAGGGAGCTCATTGGAATGCAGCTGATCCAGGTTGGGGTGGGCTGGGCTGGGCTGGGAAGCAGAGGGAAGGGTTTCCCATGGAAATGGGGCTGTGGGGGTGTGGGATTGAGGGGCTGTGGGCTGCAGGGCTGTAGGGCCTTGGGGAGCAGGGAAGCTCAGTGGAACACAGCCAATCCAGGCAGGACAGGGCTGTCCCCTGGAAAACTTTGCTCCCAGGGTTCAGGCTCCAGCCTTTCCCAGTTCTAAGGATCAAAAGGAAGCAAAAGGGTTTTGTTCCTGTTCCCCTGTGCCAGCACACTGAGTTCCTGCAGCTTGGGAGCCCTGGCACCATTGTCCCCATCACAGCACCTCATCCCCCTGCAGCTCCAGAGCTGTCCCTGTGTCACCTGTGCCTGATCTCTGGGATCCTGGGAGCGCTGGGACTGGGTTGGRTTTGGGAATGTTTTTGGCAAGGTTTCAGTTATGTGGGGTTTTTGGTTTAGGATGCATCTTCTAATATTTAAAGCCCTGAAAACATGGGGGAGGATTCATAATGGTCTGAAGGACCACGGTGCTGGAGGAGGGCAGGGTTAGACTGAATTTTAGGAAGAAATCCTTTWAGAGTGGTGAGCYCCTGGCACAGGGTGCCCAAGGCCAGGTTGGACAGGGCTTGGAGCATCCCGGGACAGTGGGAGRTGTCCCTGCCCATGGCAGGGGTGGGATGGGATTTAAGGTCCCTCCCTGTCCAAACCATTCTACGATTCTGTGATCCTGTGTTTCCATTATTTTATTTCCACTGCACCTTCCCCTGCAGTGGTCAAACATGACCAGCAAGCACCATCCACGGGGTTTCAGCATCTGCTCCTTTTGCCRAGATGGGTTCAACCCCTGGCCATCCACAGGGAGAAGGCTCAGTCCCAAAACCTGCCTGCTGCTATTTTTAAAAGGCAAAAATCCACCTTCTCCCCATTCTCTCTGCGTAAAATAGGTCCCTGAGTCAGAATGACACTGAGAAGGAGGCAGGAAGGCTTTAAATAATAGGATTCATTTAGCTAAAGCACCTAATCACCCCTGAGAATGAAAGATTAGGTAAAACAAAAGAGTTCTTATGCAGGAAAGTAAAAAGGGAATCAATCTGAGTGTGCTGGATCCCTCACACAGAGGGTGCAGGGAGTTTGGGTTTCATGCTGTGCTCACCTGAAAGGCTCCAGCAGCTCCTGGGGTGCAAACAGAGCCACAGAAATTTAGGAATTCCTKCCCTGTTGCTTCCTCTGGAGCTGCTTTCCAAAGGAGGAACCCAGAGGGAGTAGCAGAGGAAGCTCAGTCCGGGTTCACATCTGGAATAAAATGGTGCAATCCAGAACAGTAGCTCAGTGGAAGGATGTTAAATCAGGTGCAAACAGCCTCCACTGAACAGTGCACATGGAGAGCTGAAGTGGAAGTTTGAGGCAGAAGAATATTTAGAAAAAAATCATTTTACTCCTTAAAAAAAATCTGAACCAGCTGTGCACTWAAGTGTAATATTAGTCCAGGAAATTGGTTTTAATTAAAAACAAAACTCGAACCTGGTTACTGCTAACAAGCTTTAAAAGGATTTCTGCTCTCATCTGTTCTTTAAAACTTGAGTTTTAGCCTGGTACACTTTTAAATTATGAATATTAATTATTTCAGACTTCATTTAGTGCCTGACCATGCTAAAGATGTGACTGGAGCCTCAGATCTGTGCTGACACTCAGTGCAAACCTCAGATTTACTCTGTTTTTCTCAGGTGTGTGAACCTTTAGGACAGGGTGATGCTGCCTAACCGAGAGGCAATAGGGAGAAAGYTTATGCAAAGAAAATTTGTACAAAAAGCTGGCATCAAATTCCCCTTTTGGGGCCTGGAGTTTTCTTAGAGTTTGATTGCCCCTGTTATGGGGCAGCCATGGAGAAATAGGGATCCCTAAGGCGGTATTCAAATTGCTTTTACTGTCATCACCATGATTATTATCATTATCAGCATGATTATCAACAAGATAAGGACAATGTCTCTGGGGGTGAAGGCAGGTGGTGAGACCTTGGTGGAGAAAGTGGAATTTGGTTCATTCAGACTGTTCCTGGGGGAAGGGACAATTCCCAGCTCTGCTGGTGCTCAGTCAGGGGATCTGTGCCTGGATCAGGGATCTGTGCCTGGATCAGGGATCTGTGCCTGGATCAAGGATCAGTGTCTGGATCAGGGATTAATCAGTGCCTGGATCAGCGCCTGGATCAGGGATCAGTGCCTGGATCTGTGCCTGGATCAAGGATCAGTGTCTGGATCAGGGATCAGTGCCTGGATCAGGGATCAATCAGTGTCTGGATCAGGGTTCAGTGCCTGGATCAGGGATTAATCAGTGCCTGGATCAGTGCCTGGATCAGGGTTCTGTGCCTGGATCTGTGCCTGGATCAAGGATCAGTGCCTGGATCAGGGATTAATCAATGCCTGGATCAGTGCCTGGATCAGGGATCAGTGCCTGGATCAGGGATCAATCAGTGTCTGGATCAGGGATCAGTGCCTGGATCGGGGATTAATCAGTGCCTGGATCAGTGCCTGGATCAGTGCCTGGATCAGAAATCAGTGCCTGGATCAGAAATCAGTGCCTGGATCAGAAATCAGTGCCTGGATCAGGAATCAGTGCCTGGATCAGGAATCAGTGCCTGGATCAGGGATTAATCAGTGCCTGGATCAGTGCCTGGATCAGGGTTCAGTGCCTGGATCAGGGATTAATCAGTGCCTGGATCAGTGCCTGGATCAGTGCCTGGATCAGTGCCTGGATCAGGGATCAGTGTCTGGATCTGGGATCAGTCAGTGTCTGGATCATTGATCAGTCAATGCCTGGGTCAGGGATCAGGAGTCTGCCTGGATCAGGGATCAGTGCCTGGATGAGGGATCAATCAGGGCCTGGGTCAGGGATCAGGGCACAGGAAATGTCAGTGGGGCTCAGGCTCTCTGCGCTCCATTGGCCTCATCCCAGTTCAGCAGCACTCCCACTTTGTGGAGAAGACATCCACCCTCTGCTCATGGGGTAAAGGACAGGGGAACATCACTGACAGAACCACGGAGCTGAAAGCCCAGCAGCAGATCAATCACAAAGGGTGGTTATCTCTCATTAGCATGGCTGAGTGATGGGTGTACACGTGTTGGGCTCCTTGAACAATAAATGTCATATTTACATAACATGTAGGCTGATACAGGCAAATGTAAGCAGGAAATACATTCAATTAGGGAAGAAATATTTGGGCTGAAAAGCAGGAAAATAAAAGATTGCTGGTGCCTGCAGTAGGCAAAGGCAGTGCGGAGGAATTTTGGGAGATTTCTGTTCTCTTGCTCATCCCAGTCAGGGAGTTTGAGCCCCACAGATACCCCCAACTTTGGTCCACCCAAAATAATGAATTATCACATTTCAGCCACATTGAGAACAGCTGTACTCTTAGGGCTGCCCCATTTTGCTGCAGCGGAAGGAATTGTGTAGTACTGATGTAACTTCGGGATTTGTTTTCAAGGATAAATATTGTATGAGTGCAAAATCCCCTTTACAAGGTACCACTTGTCCCAGGAGAGCAGAGCTAATCCAYGCTGGGTGCTGCCACCCCTGTTATCCCAGGGCTCTTATCAGCACTGTCTCAGATAACAAACATGCTGTGCACAGCAATGACAGGAGGCCATCTAATAAATWAACAAGTTAGAAAGCTCCCAACACAATTCCCAGAGACTGAGCGGTTTTTTTTTGGCTAATGAAGCCTGCTGGAGTGGRGATGGAGTTGATTTACCTTCTGGAGCTGATTTATCCCCAACTYTGGCAGAGCAATCAGCCCTGTCCTGGTGGGACTCCAGGGCAGCTCTGTGAGGGACCAGATGAGGGATAGGACTGAACCCAGGAGCTGCAGCCATACGGGACCCACCAGCCCCAACTGGAATTGTGTGTCCAGCCCTCCTCCCCAGGGCCTGGCTGAGGGTGACAYTGGGACAACAGAGCCACTGCCCTTCAGAGATGTCCCCACTCAGGGTCAGCTGCAGAGCACCCACAGAGCTGGGGGGTGGAAATCAAAGCTGGGCCAGGCAGGGGTGGCAGTGCCCCATGTGAGGCTGACACAGGACATGCAGGAGCTCAGTTTAGGGAGAGCTCTGAGCAGACTCAGGCCTTCTATGAGGTCGGGTGTGCAGGAGGCAGCAGGACCTGAGGCAGAGGAGGGAGAGCAGCTGTGCAGGGAGCAGGGTCCTYTGGGGACATGGGCAGCCAAAAAATCACAGAATCCCAGATCACAGAATGGTTTGGGTTGGATGGACCTCAAAGCTCATCAAGTGCCACCCCTGCCATGGACAGGGACACCTCCCACTGTCCCAGGTCACTCCCAGCCCCAATGTCCAGCCTGGCCTTGGGCACTGCCAGGGATCCAGGGGCAGCCACAGCTGCTCTGGGCACCCTGTGCCAGGGCCTGCCCACCCTCCCAGGGAACAATTCCACCCCAATATCCCATCTAAATCTCTCCTCCTTCAGCCTAACACCATCCCCTTCGTCTCTCATTCCTTCCTTTAAGCAGTGCCACAAGACAAGAGAAGCTGCTCCCTTTATCAARAATGCCTTCCCCACCCCCATCATGGGACAGTCACCTGTGTCACAGCCACTCTGAGCCACCTGTGTCCAGCAGCAGTGCCCAGTTCAGATCACCAGAGGCAGATTCAGGAGATGAAGCTGTGAAAGTCCCTTTGGGACCTCCTTGGTGGCCCTGCAGAGGTGCCTTTGCTCTGAGCTGGCACATGCAGCACACGGGAATTTCGAGCACTGCTGGGGACACCAGCACTTCCCTGGTGCTGGCCATGGCCTCATAGGTGCTGCAGGAGAGCCTTGTCCCTTATCTCAGTTTCAGAACCCTCAAATAGCTGGGATTAAAGGCAATAAATAAAGCTGGCTTAAAGCACTGCAATCCTTAACACGTTTGGCAGCTGGAAGTGCRAGGAGCTGGTGGCTGCAGGCTCAGAACCCCGCTGAACATTTTACTGGGTGCTTTTCACCTACTCAGGAGCTGTCAAAGTTTGATTTCTCTTGCATTTGATGGCTAAATCAACACTTTTTGGCTAATACCATCACTCAAAGGTGATAAGATTACAGCAGGGCTCTTGGCCAGCCTCACTGGAAGCTTCAGGGAAGGTGGAAGCAGTGAGGGAGAGAGGCCTCAGGGATCTTCTTGTGTGTGATTTCCCTTCTCTATCCCCCTGTGACATCCCAGCAGGGACACTTCCAGTCTTTACTGAGTTTTCTCAACAAAGAAAGTATTGCCAAGTTTCAGTCTTGCTCCTGGCAAGTGCAATTTCTGACASAGCAATCCCAGAGAAGTCCCAGAAACAAATGGGAAGAGGGGAGACCTGTCCTCTGAGGGCCTTCCTGGTGGGTTTTACTGTCAGGACTGACCTCATACAAGGACAGGACCTGGTTTATTTTCACATTTCATCCTCTGAAGAGGGGGAAACCTTCCCATCACTTTTCTCGTGCAAGGAGAGAACCCCATAAGTCAAAGAAATCCTGTTTCAGATCTTCCTGCTCCCCCAAAATCCAGCGTGGGAGGGACAGTTTGCTGCAGGGAGATCTGGGCTTGGGCTGAGCATGGGAGGGGAGTGTTTGGAATGTTTGGAATTGTTTGGAATTCTTTGGAATGTTGGGAACAATGGAATGATTGGAATCAGCTCCTGTGCATTCTGCAAAGGAGGGATCTCAGCAGGGCTGGGGGCCTGGGTGAGGATTGGACTGGCTCAGTTTGTGAACTCAGATAGAAATTGTTCCTAAAAACAAAACCTGAACCTGGAATTGCCATAAAGCAGCCCAGATGTGCCAAACTTGTCACCAGAGCAGGGCAGGGGGGACCTTCAGGGTGTGTCCAGTTCTAGGTCCCTTGTGAAGAACATGGARGGGCTGGAGCGTGTCCAGGGCAGGGAACGGAGCTGGGGAAGGGKCTGGAGCCCCAGGAGAGGCTGAGAGAGCTGGGRAAGGGGCTCAGCCTGGAGCAAAGGAGGCTCCGGGGGGACCTTGTGGCTCTGCACAACTCCTGACAGGAGGGGACAGCCGGGGGGGTCGGGCTCTGCTCCAGGGAACAGGGACAGGAGGAGAGGGAACGGCCTCAGGCTGGGCCAGGGCAGGGCCAGGGGGGACATCAGGAGGAATTTCCCCATGGAAAGGGTGCTCAGGCCTTGGCAGGGGCTGCCCAGGGAGGTTTGGAGTGCCCATCCCTGGATGGATTTCAGATGCTCGGGTGTGGTGACTGGGCAGGTTTCAGTGCTGCAGTGACACAAGACTGGATGATCCCAGGGGTCTTTTCCAGCCTA